TTGTTTCACTTCTTATATTATGTTTTACGCAAACATGGCATCTTTTTGCAGGATGTTGCTTTTTATTTGTCGCGGGTATAGGTTCAGGAAAATGTGCCCAATATTTTGCTTGTAACCGAGTTGGGCATTCACTTTGCGACCGTCTGCCGCGTGTCGGATAGTCCGGCAGGGACAAATTACAAAGCATGTCTTCTGCAATATTCAATCGAAAATTCACAATCGATTGCTTTTGTGAAGTAGGCAATTTGGAATATAAAACATAAGCATTATAAATAGCTACATCAAACATATAAAAAAATATTCTTTTATATCCTTTTGCACATTTTCTCATGAGGGGGAAACATGCAAGAGATTGGTCCTGCTTGTCTACACCTCCCATTCCACGATTATACTCCAGAACACAGGTCGGTTTTATTTGTCGATGCAATTTTGTTTATCGGTACTGTTAGGAGGGGGAAAGCATCTCCAACAGTCTAAACAAAACAGCATCAATGCACGACCGAAACAATTAAAGAATCTAATAATGAAATGCACGGCGTTCGCCGAATACAGTTCTTGACGTCTTGGAGACGTCAAAGTCTACAATGGCACATGAAGTAAATGACGTCTCCCAGACGTCATTGTATGTCAAGTGGTTAATATAAATACAAAGGTCTTCAGCCTGATTGCTAGAAGATCGAGTAGATGAAACACGAAACATTAAAAACGCTTAAAGAATTTGAAAATACTTGTTCAATCGTCAGGGAGATCTTTTGTACGCTTAGAATAACGAGCAGACAACTTTTCTGCTAAAAATTCGTAAAACCGCACACGATTCATTAAGAATCTGCGCGGATCACAGACAACGCACGTTTACGATGGAACAACGATAACTTTGAGAATTTGATTAAAATTCTTCACGCGACTCGCGCGGTTACAGGTGGTGGTAATCGAGATAAGATTTCGCCCGAGGCGGACCCCGTCATAAATTTGCCGGGCAATGATCAGGATAGTAAATCAGCCTCAAACGAGTCAGCTATTTGCTTGGACGAATATGGGGCCAATAGTTCGGAAATTTACCGGACCGTGTGGAAAGTCGTTCGTGTTTTTTACGGATCCATCGGGGACAGATCAGGTTCTGGGAAGATTTTTACGAGGTCTGCGTTTGTACCGTACCGGAGGAACTGTTTGTCCCCGGTATTGAAGAAAATCAGGGGAAACGTTTATGGAGAAGAAGCATCGCTCGCCGATGTGCAAGTTCTCTTCCGTGTTATCGCATCTGAACGCTCGAAAATGGGAATTGTCGTGGAACGGCGCAAAAGAGATTGCCCGGCGATAAAGTGGAGAGACCAGTTTCGAAATCTATTTCGAAGTATTTTTCAGTTGACCGTTCTATTTTGTCCGGGCGTAAATTTTAAGCGCGCGGCACGCTTTATCTTGAACGACTTGTACGCTTTCCAGACTTCGATCAGCGACGAATCCCGTCGCCGTTTTCTTGCCCGTGAAAACTACGAAAGAGGGCTCTTACACGCGGGAAATACAATTGGCATTTCTATAAAGAGCTGTCCAAACCAGTTTGTAAGGAACGGTCCAGTTTCACTTTGTAGTTACGGAATAAAATTGGTGATTCCGAATGAAACAAGCTCTCACAGAACTATGAAAATAACCGAAACGAATTATGTCGATGAAAACTGCAGTTTCTTTTCATTAAAGTCATCGTGAACATCCAGTAAAGGTTTTGTGACTTCACTCTAACGTTATACAACTCGTCGCAAAGAATGAACATTTGTTATTTTTACCTTGCACGTATTTGCTATCTCTTCCTGTTTCGTCACCGGATTTTCAATGACATTTTATACTCAGCAGTGCGATAACTGCGAATCAAATTTCGCTTAACGTAATTGAGTAAATTAGTTGCGATAGGCTACGAGTGCATGCATAGGAAATACATACACGATACCATATCGTACGTAATTTATCTTCAACTAGCTGCATCGTAATTCATGTATAGCCTTCGGTCGATGGTACACGTTGCGACGCTGCCCCGATCTTCGCGAGTCCCTAGACGCGGACAAGGGCGACTCCGGGATTCTAAGGCCCTTAGGCCAGGTCACGCACGGCCGTACGTGCGTGGTCCACCTGTCACAAGCTCGATCCCCGGGAAATTCGGCGCGGAGCGCGATACCGAGTTCGGGCGCCAGGCACCAGAACAGTGCCACGCGAAACGCGAAATGCTCTTCTCCGCCGCCGAATCGGAAACCAATGGGCGCGAGAAAGATCTACGAAGCAGGTGTGACAGGCTACGCGGCCCGTTACACCATTATAATAACATCCGGTTAAGGTCAAGCCGACTACGATCCACCTGGAGCAAGATAAGAGGCTGCCCCACGTGGAGCGAGATAAGCAGGTGCCCCACGTGGAGCAGGATGGTGTGACACCCTACACACCCCGTTACGTCATTATATCAACATCCGGTTAAAGGAGCAGCCGACTACGATCCACGTGGAGCGAGATAAGAGGGCGTATAAAATCACCGCACATCAAAGACAGGCC